AACCCCCAGTACCTCAGAATGTGACTGTACTTGGAGATAGGGCCTTTAAAGAGGTGATTAAGTTAAAATTAGGTCATAAGGGTCGGCCCTAATCCAATATGACTGATGTCCTTAAAGGAAGAGGAGGTGAGGACGCAGACACACACAGAGGGAAGACCATGTGAAGACACAAAGAGGAGGCGGCCGTCAACAAGTCAAGGAGAGAGGCCTCAGGAGAAACCAACCCTGCCCACACCTTGATCTCAGACTTCTGGCCTCCAGAGCTGTGAGAAAATAAATGTCTATTGTTTACGGCAAATAGTCTGTGGTACTTTGCAGTGACCACCCAAGCAGACTAGGACATCAGTCTAGTTCATCATCAGGCTCACCACAGGGTTCTGCTCCCGAAGTAAGGAGTCTCCGAAACGACAGGCACTCATCCTATGCTCCCCGGCCACCTGTCCCAAGGCCTGGAAACTTCTGTGCTCAGAAGGTTCTTCATTGGATTCTTCACCTTTCATCACCTCCCCCTCCTTCTGGCTTAAGTGCAGGGGAGCCAAAATGGTCCCAACCAGCCCCAGTCACCGCAGCCTAGGTCCACCAGGCAGAGGCACACTCTCCTATTTCTGGCTCTACTTCCTGGCCCCATCCTCCGGGGAAATGGGCTACCCTGTGGGGCAGTGAGCATCCCATCATATAAGGTGAGGAGCCAGGGGTGGGAGGAGGGGAATAAGCTGAGCTCCAGCGGGCGGGAGGGATTTGGAGCTGACGCCTGAACTCACACGCCAGCCTTACTCTGACCTCCTGACCCCGGGCTAGATCGCTGACCTCCCCACATGCGGTATGGTCATCACGTAATGGGGCTGCAACAGGGTGAGCTGAGATCATGAAAGGAGGGTTCCACTTGTAGGGCTGTTCCCCTCTTTGACAGGTCCCTCCCCCCTCTCGAGCCTCAGTTTCCTCTCTACGGCGGGAGGGTGTGAGATGGGCTCTGTGATCTGGGGGGGGCCGCGGCCTGCAGAGACCAAAGTCCCCACATGTTTTCATCCTTCATTTTGCTGCTAAGACTGACCGGGGGACACCATGAAGGGAAGGAAGAGCACGCTGAGTGCCACGGGTCTGCACGCCTTGAACTGGAAACCTGCACGAGGGTTCAGAGGGTAGGGATGCAGGCGGTGAGGAAGGGGTTAAACACAGAGCAATTCCTGACATAGAGGGTAAAGTCAGGGTCACCTGGAGGGCTTCCCGGAGGAACGGAGCTCTGACCCCAGCGCCGACCGCCTCTCACTTCAGGGAGAGCCAAGGTGGGGCCCAGGCCAGAGATGACCTTTGTCCCCAAGAGCTAGGCTCGGTGCCCCCGCCCACCACTCTGAGTCACCTGGTGGACTCCAGACGGAATGGCCCACTCCTCCTAAACCTGCCCCGGTGGGCCTGAAATAGCAGAGGCAGGCAGCTTGCAGAAATGGCCTCACCTCATCTCCAACACACCACCCTGTCCGTATTTTGAGAGGCCAGCCCCTCACCAGAGGCAGTCCTGCCTGAGCAGCCCCTCCTGTGTATGGTGGAGGGGGGCGGGGACAGGGGGACAACAGGGATGTGCCTCAGCTGTTCCCGGCATTGCAGCCCTGCTGGGTACCTGCCACAGGGTACTGCACTCCGTGCCTCACTGCGTGTAAGCCCCCCACCCATACTGAGAGGCAGGGCAGGGGAGATCTGGACTGTCCAGTGGTGAGAAGTGGGGGGCAGAGCGAGCAGACCCTCACCCAAGCTCAGCGGGACCCAGGTACTGCTACAGGACCAGACACCCAGGACAGACCCTTGGGGACGACGGCCAGCTGAGGATGCTATAGCAGTTAGCACCGGGGTTCCACACCAGATCCGCTCTTTACTAGCGGGGCTACCTTAGGCAGGTCACTTAACCCCTCTGTGCCCCAGTCCCCCATCCAGGCATAATAACAGTGCCCACCTCACAACGTGGCTGCAAGTGTTAGATGAGATGGAGGCTATCAAGTGCTTGGCATCGTAACCGGCGCGTGGCAAAGCCTGAGCTGGCTCCCAAGGCCAAGGGGTGTCCTCCCGAGCCCTGTCAGCAGACCCCTGAGATCGTGGTCACTACCGACGTGACAGAGACTCACGAGGGAACACAGCAGGCAGCCCCTCTGCAGCTCCCACTCCCCGAAAGGTGCTCGAAATGATTTGTCAACCAAATCCCCATGTTACAACAGAGTCAAAGGAGGCCCCAAGAGGCCGGCATCTTGGCAGAGGATTTGAACCCGGATAGTTTGGCTCCAGAGGCCACAGTCCTAACCACAGTACAAACTGCCTCTCATGAAAATTGCTACAATAACCCAATCACGTGAGTACCGTCACCATCCCGTTTGCAGATAAGGAAATGAACACGACAGGAAGGCATGATCATTTGACCAAGGGCACACAGCTGCAGAAGGGAGACTCCACAGTGTGGACCAGGCAGTTGGGCTCTAAAGCACACGTGCTTGAGCGCTCTAGCACCTCAGGGTCATCCTGCCTCTCCTGGTCCAGGGCCTCCCCGGGCACCACATTTCAGCCCACAAGGCCATCCCCCAGCCCGAGGGCAGCTCCAGCAAATGGCCAAACCACTGCCCAGGCTCCAGCGTGGGCCATCTCCTGAGCACCCCAGAGTCTTGGGGGTTAGGGGCCCTTATCCCAGCTAGCACGTGTGGAAACTGGAGCACAGTGACTTGCCCACAACTAGGGGAACAGACAGAGGCCTCGGGCTTCCCTCTCGTGAACCAGAGAATCAGCCAGAAGAGAATGCATTTACCTCTGGGCCCCAGAATCTAGAGCCTTTTAGAAGTGCTCCAGCCAGGAGAAGCAGGGTGAGGATAACATCACCGCTCCTGCCCCGGGGCCACCCCACTGACTCTCCTGTCCCTGTGGGGGATGCAGCCCAGTGACAGTGGGGAGTACACAGCGGGACAGGCTGGGTCTGCCCGGGTGACCGCTCCAGCTGCCCAGCTCCGGGCCCTGGCCAGCCAGGCAAGGGAAGAGGACAGCAGGGCTGTGAGCTGCTGCCTTCCCTTCCCACCCTTGGGCGCAGGGCCAGTGTCTCAGCCTCCAGACAGGAGCCCCTCTGTCCCTACAGAACGAGCTGACCTTTAACTGGCCAAAAGATCCTACTGGTTCCATCCCCCTGCCTGGGAGAGCAGATTGGAGGAGAGAGGAGGGCGGGCAAGGGGGAGGGAGGGGAGCCCGGGGGCCCCCCTCTCCCCTTCCTTCCTCCCCCTTCCCTGCCTCTGGTCCCAGCCTCCTGATCAGTCCGCCTGCTTCCTTCCCTCACTGGCTGACTGCGTCCCAAGCCCCATCCTTCCCGCAGCCCCTCCTTTCCCCTTAATTGTTTTACCTTTTGTTTGCCTGGCACTTTATAGTTTACTAAATGTTTTTACATTTATCATCGCATTGAATCCACACCAGGGAGAGATGGAGAGACATTGAAAATTCCTTCCAATTGCCAAGTGTTCTTGTTAAAAATGCAAACATCCCCAGAACCGTGAACAATTAGGCTGGCGGCCACCGGCGCCTCGGGACTGATTCATTTCATCCTCTTCTCTGCCTTCTCCCCAGCTACAGGGCACAAGGGGACGTGGCTGGAGCAGGAAGAGAAGCGCTCTGGTGGGGGGGCAGCCTCAGCACAGTAGAGAGGGCCCCGGTGGAGTGTCTAGGCCCCTGAAGGGGTGGGGGAGAAGTGTGGGAACTAGGCAGGGAGAGGACAGACTTTCACCACTGCAACACTGCACATGAACTTCTGCCATCAAACCCTAAACGCTAGCCTAAGCATCGCCCTCATCCCACCCCCTCTGAACTGCATCGCTCATGCCGGTGTCTCTAAGGTCAGAGGGAGAATCTTTATGCAGGAAAAGGCCTAAAAGACTTTCAGCGTGGAGTCAACAAATCCAAAACCTTGGAGGTGGAGACCAGGGTGAGGGTCCCTGGCCTACCTAATCCAGCTCTGCCACATGGCCCAGGGTCCCCACCCCAGGACAAGCTTCAGCTGGGAGAAGCACAGAGGCTGGGTGCTGGTGTCCTTGAAAGGACGTATCCTGGCCATGGGAGTAAATCAAGAGATGCTTCCTTCTGGGCCGGGGCGGGGCGGAGGCAGGTCTCAGTTACCCCGGCTGAAAACTGATGGGGGATGGGCCAACGGTCCTGAGGTCCTCCCAGCTTCCACATTCCGTGATCCTGGACCAAATCAGGGTAACAAGCCTGTGGCCAAACTCCAGACAGGGCGTCTCAAGAGTTCCTGAGCTCCAGACATGCTCATTCTCAGAGGCCCTGCCCTGCATCCCATCACACATACTCAAATGAACCACATAAATCAACAGAACTCATATATAACTCTCAAGAGCTGAACTGAGTTGTGGATGTGACCATTTGACATTATGTTAGGTTTTGTTGCTAAATTAAACATATATTCATTTCAATTCTGCTGCTTTCTTTTCAAATTTTGGAGCCTACCAGTTTGTTTCCAGCTCACAAACATTTTCACTGGCTGTTGATGAAAGATTGTGGATCCTAAATGCTGTGTCTACCTTCCTAGTGCTCTGACCCCAGAGAACTCGGGCAGGGAGCCTGGAGAAATCCAACAACGGGGTTAAAAGAAATCTAACAAACGCTGTATTTTAAGCACAGGAGGGTATCTCAAGCTCCACGCAAGGCCACTTCCTCCAAGGAGCCCTCCCAGACCACTCTACCTCTCAAGAATCCATCCCCTGCCAATCTCAGAGCATTTACTGCCTATGGGACTCATTCGGTACCAAGGATACACCCTTGTATGGCTGTTTTGCTTCACTCTTTAGCTCATTCCTGTTTTGTTTTATCTTCCGCCACTGAACTGTGAGCTCTCAGAGGTGCTTTGGACCTCTCCTCTGCACCTCCCCTCCCTTTGAACCCAGTATGGTGTCATAGCAAACCAAGAGAGCCGAGGCCATGTGAGCAGGGGCTGTGCGGTCGCAGAGGGGCTGGAAGTCACTGGTCCCACCTACCCTCCATGCCATCATCTTGATGCCCATTGAAGTTGTCATAGGAATCCCAGCGGATGAGGGGGTCAGAGGTGTTATAGTCCACAGACACGCTTGGCCCGTTCTCCAGGTGTTCCATGCCTTAGAAAATGGGAAAGGCAGAGACGACCGTGAAGAGAAAGAAAAAAACCGATCAGCAGCTGGAAAAACAGAAGACACCAACAAGTTCCCTAAGGATGCTCCCTAAGGGACTTCTCATTTTCTTGACCATGGCGAGGCAGGACCACTCACTTAAGTTGGATGGAGAACCCAGGAGTCTGGTTTCTTGCATTCTTGAAAAGGTTCACACCAGGTCATAAGGGTAAATGAGGACAGCAGCACTGAGCAACAAAGACCCTTTAGAAGAAAGCTGGGGGACCCTCTGGCTGGGTGGCTGCCTCTTTCTCTTCTGTGTCCCAGGGACCCCTGGGGCAGTGCCAAGAGTCCAGAGAGTCAGGGGGAAGTGCAGGAGAGGGCTGTGATGGGCTGCACGGGGTCACGGACAGCAGGCAAATCACAGCCTTGACATTGAGAGGACACAGGTCATCCCAGCCATCCCCCTGCCCTTCCACTTAAGATGCTTGCCACTGCAGGCAGAAACCTGAGGAGAGAGGCAGAATCTCTCCTACACATCCAGAGAAAGCCCAGGATACAGACAGCATAAGCTGCAAGTCAGGCCTTCTGGATGAGTTACCTTCCTGACCCAGCAGTCCTTTCTTTAGTCTGCCCAGAGTCCCTCTGCTGTAACCTGACTTCACCTCTTCCTATTCTGTTCCCAAATAAGACGAAGAACAACTGGTCTCCACATATAACCAGTCTAACAGCTTAAAGGCTATTATTAAATTGGCCTTCTCATCTTTAGGTTGAATCACCTCAGTTCTCATAAATACTTATCGTCCATCCAGCACCTTTGAGAGCCCCCTTGGCCACTCCCTCTATCCACCATAGCCTTCAGTCTCTGAATATAATAGGATGATGACCTAATGGGGTCAGAATAGTTTATCCAACCCAGCCCCTCTCTGTCTACTTTTTTATTTTTATTATCCAGAGATTAAGTCACTGGTTCATGTTTAGCTGGGGGTCCACTATGATACCCAGATCTTTTACTGCTGGCCTGAGTCTCAACCACAGGTAACTTGATATTTGTAGAGCAGATCAGTGGGAAAATGGTAGAGGTGAGTTGAGGTGGGGCAGGGCAGAGTGAAGGGAAGGGAATGAATCAATGGATTCTAACTTGGCATTTACCTTGAATTTTCTCTGGTCCATAAGAAAACACAAATTCAACTTTGCCATATTCTGGAAATCGATCATCTGAAAAAAGGAGAAGGAAAAACAAAAATGGGCAACTGATTCCCAAAAGAGGACTCCACAAAAAGTTTTCTTCTAGAAAAGTTTAAAGTAATACATGTATACATGGTTGATAATATAATAAGTAGTGTATATAATGACATTAAGTCTCCTACCCACCCTAGCCCTGTCTTACCTGTCTGAGGCAACCATTTCTTACCATTTCTATCTCTTGTTCTACGAGCAGTTACCTCTAAGACTCTAAATAATAGCCACAGTTTTTATGCCACTATTTCTAGATATATCAGTTTTAAATAATCTTCACTGATTCATCCCTATGAAGATGAATAATTTGGATCACTTACAGTGTTCCCACCTCCCTTCTTAAACCTGGTTTATGATTATTATTACTATCATTAATTCACCCTTCTGATTACCTCTGAAACTTTCAATACGATGGTTAAGCCTCTATTTCTTGATCTGTCCATTTCCGATGGTGCCCTGATTCCCTCCATGTAGGAGGAGGAAGTTTGTGCCCCTCCCTTCTCCCACCTCTCCGCAACTCTACGTTTATTTTGTCAGCTATTCTTTTACTTTCTTTGTTAAGACTGATGACATTTACATTCTCTTCTGCAATTATAACAGCATCTTCTGTTTTTGCTCTCCTGGCTCCGGTACAGGGAAAGCTCATCATAGAAACATCCTTCTCCTGCCTGAGCCAGACCACACTGGGGGGTCAGGCCTCTCCTCCTCAGAGCCCCAGCCCCACGCTCTGATCTCTGCCTGAGCCCAATCTGCACACAGATCACCATTCACTGCTTGCAGGAAGGGAAGTTACAGCAGGGGTGGTGTCGGCTCCCTGGAGCACCCATCATGCCTGTGTATATCTCCATCACCACAAGCATCACTTCATAGTATCATGTCTGTTTGTCTCTTTCTCCCATAAGACTGTGAGCTCCCTGAGGGTAGGGCCTGACTTCTTTCCCTTTGTATCACCGGGGTCTAGCACATGCCTGGAACATACAGACGCACAGTGATGCTGGTGGACTTATACACGGACAGATGGATGGATGGGTGGATGGGTGGATGGACGTGGACACGTCCTGGGCCTGAGTGTAATACAGATAAAAGCTTAAGTGGATCGAGGAAAGAAGCAAAGGGAGACAGCTCCCAGAACACCTCCCTTCCCGTGGGCAAACGGTCACCCTTCACTGCTGCCATAGCCCCTCCATTATTGCTCTCCTATCCTGTGGCCTAATTATTCCTTGCTAGGTCTGCCTCTCTACTCAGCGAGCCCACCTTTGAAGGCATCGTCGAGGTCCTCTTTCCCAAAGACAACCCCCAGGTCATGGATGGCGCAGGTATGGAACTGCACGCGGAAGATGACGTCTCGGGCTGGGCTCCGGAACTTCTTGTGGTAGCACTTCAGCTGGGTGGGAAAGACAGCAGAGCCCATCAGGGGCCGAAGGTAGAAAGTTGGTCCCAAGGGGCATCCTTATCAGCTCCACGACTTAAGTCCCAAACCCAGCGAGGAAGAGGTCACCAACCCCAAACAGGATCTCAGAGCTCTCTGGGGAAACTTCCAGAACAGCGGAGAGTTGAAAGCCAGCCTTGCCCTGTGGGGACAAAGTTATCCTCCCAAGAAGTTGCTGTACACCAGTCAGAACGGGCAACGTAGGAATGGATTTAAATCACAGGAGGAAGGAGTGAAGTTAGAATTGAGGGAGTCCTTGTCACCAGCAGGAAGCCCGGAGGTACAGCTCACACAGAGACGTATGTCCCTGGAGATACTCCAGAACAAGAGGCAAGCCCCGGGGGAAGGCACATCCAACACTGAGGCAGGGGATGGACAAGGACCGTCAAGTTTGGAAGGCCTTGCAGGGCCCCTGAGAGCCAATGACCCCAAGGCTGGTGGCCCACCAGGAGGGACGCTCTTGTCCAGAGAGGCAGAAGGGGAGGAGGAAGAGAAAAGGAAGAAAAATTAAACGGCGGTGCGGGGGCTTGACACAGAGGGGCAACTTACCAAGATGTCTCCCTTCAAGAGCAGCCCGGGCTCGATGGTGATGCAGATGCTGGTCTGGCTGTCTCCCTGGACGTTGCTATGGGAGCGAGGCAGGCAGAGGGACAGAGGGCTGCTGAGGTGGCCGGGCAGTGCACTTTCTCCCAGCTGCCCCTCTGCCCGGGGGCTATTGTGAAAGCTCGCTGACCCATCCCTCAGCCCTACCCTGGAAGTCCTCCTAGAAAAGGTCCTAGGCAGCCCCCCAACCCCGGCCCCCAGCCCCCAGTCCTCAGCCTTGGACCTCCGGCATCCCTGGCCTCTCATCCCTGCGGAATACCTACTAGATACCAGATGTGTAAACAGGTTGCATGGCCTGGTAGATCCGGAGAAATGGCCGACACCCTGTAAGGGAGGGGTGCTATTAGCCAGGACAGCAGAAACAGCGGGAGGAGGAAGGGAGATGAAGGAAGGAAGGATCGGCCAGGAGGAGGAAAGGGAAGAAAGGGAAGGAGGAAAAGAGGAAGGAGAAATGGAAAAAGAAAGAGGAAGAAATGCTAACTTTTCATTTCAAAGGCATTTTGAGTTTACAAAAACACTACACCGTCCAGCGTCACCTGCCCACAGGCACTGCCAGTATCCAACCCATTTTGCAAATGAATCAACTAGGGCTCAGAGAAATAGGAAGTGGTACAGTTGAGACTCCAAGCCTAAGACTGCAGCTAGCCCGTATTTTTACCCCCCAGGGCTGCCTCCTAAGACAGAGAGATGGAAGATAGGAGGGGAATGGAAGCTAGAGGGCTCGGGCAGTTACCTCCTTTAGACTCAAAGTTGGGGATGCCATGCATGATCACGTGGTGCAGAAACAAGGGCTTGTTGTTCATTTTGATGGAGCCAGAGAGCAGGCCGCTGAAATAATGCACGTACCTGGAGCAGGGAGAAGGGCAGCTTCAGCCAGGGAGGCCTCTGCTGGAGCAGAGCCATTCTGTTCTCTTTTGCCCCGGCATACTGCCCTAGGTTGCCCTGCCAACACCCCCCCACCACCACCCCCGAGGCCTCCTGGCAGGTGGGGTCTTCACCCTTGCTGCCGGTAGCCCCAGGAACGCGAACAGGGTCCAGCCAAACCTCCCACTTGGGGTTCTCTGGCGCCTCCTGGTGGTCAATGCGGCCACCTCTTTCCTGCTTCACTCCTGGCCCAGGAATCTCCTGCTGGACCAAATGCCCTCCCACACATCCCTGACAGGCATCATTTAGCTGTTCACTACCGCACAAGGCAGGGTGATCAACCATCAGACAGCTCTGACACCCTTACACCGAGCCCAAACCAACCTTGCATTTGTACCCACAGGCCCCAGTTCTGCTCCCACAAGACCCACCAACCACATGACAATCCCGCACATAGTAAGAGCTTAGTAATACTAGTCCTTCATTTTTTTTATATCACGCTGACGGGTACAAAATTCCTCTGTACCATTTCATTTGATATTAGAGGATATCTAACTTCCACTAAGTATTCCTATCTCTAGGGTCAACATGCCCCAATTCCCTTAACAAAGATCTCGTTGGAAGAATGGAAGGAACAGGCCATCCCCACTCCTTCTAGAAGAGAGGGAAAATTAGGTCCAGAAAGGGTCATCAGCCTCCCAAAGGCACACTGCAAGAGCACACAGAGGTGGGAGGAAAGCGGGTGGGGGGAGAATGGAAGCAGTCTCACTCCAGAGCATCTACTAGAAGGAGAGGCCAATCCTTTTGGTTGGTGTGTCCTCCTTTTCTGACTGGCCAGAGGATGCCAAGCTGGGTCAGCTGGACCAATCAGAATGCATTCTGATTTGAGGCCAGTGAGACCAGAACGCTCACAGCCATGACAATTGTCCTGTCCCGTCTTTTGGCTCCCTGGCCCACCTCCAGGCCTGTGGGCCTCTGTCCCTGGGCTGGGGTGGGGCCACCTTGGACTATCCCAGCAAGATAATCTGATGGGCAGCACAAGCTCCTATTCAGGCCCCTGCCCAGCCCCCAGCCCCGTTGCTCAAACCGGAAACCTGGAATGGCGGGTTCCTATCAGATCTTCTGATCGTGCCAACAGGATGTGTCTGTGTGCTGGGGACAATGAGCCCGGGGTGGGGTGACAATGAGTGGGGGAGCTGCAAGCAAAGCCCCTCCCTCCCTCTCTCCCTGCCCTCCTCTCCTCCAGCTGCTCCAATCCCTGCAAGCGACACTGACAAGAAGGCGGGAAAGTGGCAACGAATGCCACTTTCCCAACAGCTGCACATCCACATTTGGGCACAGACAGAATTACCCACCCATGAGCAGATGCAGTTGCGGATATGAGCTGCACGACAGATACAGATAATGTAAACACGGGGGCACACACACACACACACACCCCGGTGGCATGCTACGTAAGCACACAGTGAGCACGGTGGAATCCCTGAACGATCCTGGCCCTGAGAGGTAACACTAATCCCCATCCTCCAGGCTTTCCGCTTCAGAAATGTGACAGCTCTGCCCTCTCTCTCCAAAGCCACATTGTGCCATCGCAACACCGTGCTCCTCTGTTTGAACTTGTTATCTTTCAAGGTCAAGGGCCAGACTCGTGACCAAGGCCACCAGCCACAGGTAGCAAGTCAGGATCTTAAATAATACTTCTTTCCTCCCTGAGACGTCTTCCCTGGGAAGACTCTCACTGATCCACCGCTGCTTTGGTCTGGCAGCCTAGTCAGAATTTTCTGCACATAAAGACATTCCATTTCTGATCTCTGACCCAGAGGCTGGCTACCAGCTGTCCTGTGCCAGTTGTAAGGCGCTGGTTGCCTGAGGACTCACTCACTTCCGCTTGGGCTTCCTGCTACAATGGTGGAAACAGGCCCCAGTGGTGCCGGCACATTTTAGCCAGGCAAGGTAGGGGTGACGGGGTGTGAGTTGGGGACCCCCGGCATGGAGAGGCTGAAAAGCTCCAGGATCTGTAGCCAGGGGTTCCTGCTTGCCCAGTCAGTGTTCCGAAGGGCTAGAAAAGTCTGTGAGACATTGTGGCCTTTATACTTGCTGTTCCCTCTACCTGGACCCTTTACCCCAGACCTTTACCTAGATGCTTCCTTCTCCCTTCTCAGACCTCACCTCACATGTCATCTTCTCAGAAAGGTCAGCACACTGGAATCAGCCCCTCATGTCCACCCCTGTCATTCTCTAGCCCGTCGTGTTCTGTTTTGGTTTTTTCCCCATCAAAGCACTTATCACTGTCTGAAATGACCTTGAAGGTTTATTTACTTGTGTAATGTCCATCTTTCCCAATACAATATCAGCTCACTAAGGGCAAAAGACTCCTGTCCAGCTAGATACCTCCAGCACTTGGAACATACTAGAGTACCTAAAATTTGCCAAAGGAACCAAGGAATCCATCCCTGTCCTGCTTCCTGCCTGGGCTGTTGTGGCCCACATGGGTGAGAGACCGTTGGAAAATTTTAAAGCTCTCGCAGCAGAAGGTGACCCTTATCACGAACATCTGTGACTCCCTCAGGGCAGGTGGCAGTGACATCAGCCTCCTGTAGACCCATCAAAACAAGGAAGCAGCCCTGCTGCCAGGACCGAGAAAGGCACTGCCTCCTTATACAAGCTGGCGTCTTGTACCTCCCCCACTGCTGCCCCTGCTGCTCTCTGGCACCAACCTCAGGAGCCAACTGCCATGCCCCACTGTGAGCACACACAGCTGCTCACGGCTTCACCCATGTCCCTGAGCTCCCACCCCTGCAGGCTGGCACCTGAACATGCATGCTTGGCACACCCCCACCTAGGCGTGCTGCTCCACCCACCAAGGGTACACGAGGCTAGTTCCCACGTACAGCGAGCACACACACGCACACGCACTCACACACACAGGCACTGGGCCGAGAGCCCTGGAGACCTACCTCCTCTGGGATGGCTGGCCAATGGGTACAATCTTATCCTCGTAGAACCGCTTCATTGCAAAGCGGTCCAGGGCCTGGTCGGCACTGTGGGGAGAGACAGGTGGTCAGAGGAGTCAACCTCCACGAGTCCCTTGTCCACCCAGCCCTGCTTCCCAGACCCGCAGAGCCCTCTGGCCACTCTGTCCTGAGATGCCTTCAGGAAAGGACTGCCCCAGCATCTCTCAATCCTGTGTGCTGCACTACTCAGCACAAGGGCCTTGGAGCCAGGCAGCCTGGGAGCCCATCTCAAGTTCATCACTGACTTAGTAGCCCTGCAACTTGGGGCAGGTTACTTAACCTTCCTGAACTTGATTTTTCTTTCCTGTCAAATGAGGTGATAACCGTGCCTTCCCTGAAGGCTGTTGTGGCAATCGAGTGAGATGACATCTATAAAGAGCTTGGCACATGTGGGCACACAGTAGGTGCACAGGAAATGTTGACCATTATGCAAAGATTTAGCTGGGTCAGGTTTCTTAAAGTCATAAAACTACCGTCCTATTGCAAGCCCTTCATAGAGCATTCTACCCATCCTCAAAGAGATCATTTTTTAAAGAGACAGATCACATAGCTTCTCCATTCTTGACTCTCCAGCGAGGTCCCATCCCTCTCAGAATAAACCCCAAAGTCCTTATCAAGGGTACAAGGCCCCCGGGCTCTGCCTCCTCCCAGCTTCACTTCCCACTCTTCGTCCCCTCACTCACTCGGCTCCAAACATGCCAGCCTCTCAAATTCCCACTGTTGGCCTTTGTCCTTCCCTCTTCTCTGCCTGGAAGGTCCCCTGCCACCACCCACCCCAGCCCACCACGGACTGTATAGGACTCAGTTCTTCCCCCCTCTCGCCACTTAATTCTGCTCAAATATCACCTCCTCAAGAGTCCTCCTTTCCCCACTGTCTTGCTCTAGTCTCCGTCTTTCAAAGTACTCATCACCTGCTCTTACTGATGTGTTTGTTTGCTCATTTCACATTCATGAGGGCAGTGGCCTGGCTTTGCCCACTGCTCTATTTCCAGCACCTAGAGCCGCCTGCACAGTGGCTGTTCCATAACTGTCATCAAATGACTAAATGAATGGAGGAATTCCTCTGCCTCTCTGAAAATCCAAATCAGAACGGGAATCATCCACTGGCTGTTTCCTATTCTTGATGCAAAACAACTAAGTGGGAAGATGCCCCTGCTGGCCAGAAGCAGGGGAATAGATGAGAAACCTTCCAGATGGCTCTGCTGGACCCAGATGTGATCCAATACTTCTTTGTGACTCCCTCTCTGCTCACTCTGGTAAACAGAAGGCAGTTGGGCAAAGAAAAGTGGCCCCAAGAAGCCAACTGGACGGGGTGTCCATCCATGGGCCTGCCTCCCACGGCTGCCCCTCCCCAGGGCCCCAGACAGAGGGATGGTGTCTCCTCTCTCCTGCTCTGTCCAAGGGCCCCTGTGCCGGAGCTGAGGGCAGGGACATTCTCCTTTCCAGGGGCTCCTCCCCCTGTCCTCAGCACCTCTCACCTCCTCTGCCCTTATCCTCCAACCCCAAGGGAGGGAGAGGCCTTAGGTGGGTGGGGGGAGGGGGCTCTGCTGTCAATATTCAGAGAATGGGAGGCTCGGGGCCCTCTTACCTGGCAGAAATGTTGCTGTAGTGCATGTAAGCCGCGATCACAACACCTATCCTGCCTCGGTTTCCCTGAAAAAGCCCCGAAACACAAAAGCCTTTACTTCTAAGGCTGGCCCTACTGCCCCAGAGCAAGGCAGGCAGGGGCTGCAGAGAGGGGTGGGGTTCTCAGGGAGAATCGGAGGAGGGAGGAAGCGGATGGGGCTGAGTTTCAAAAAGAAAAAAACACAGCTGATCGTCCACCACACCTGAGTGACCCACCGGCTGGTACCTCCACTTCCCGGGGGTGCACCCCAGACAGAATCGATTATCCCCAAGAAGGAGAGTACACACCAACAAACTTGCACGCTCACACAATCCAGTGATACAGGCAGGTGCATACACTCATCCAAGGATATATTCGTGCGCGGGCATGAACACGCACGCGCACGCACGCGCACGCACACACACACACACACACACACACACACACACACACACACACACATCCTGCAGCCCCCGCTCTGACCTTGTTGTGTAAAACGACAACATTGTGGGGATCTGCGTTGAGCCAAGTGTCCACGGCCTTGCAGACACTGCAGATCGTCTCCAGGGCTGGGGTGTGGAGGTCAGGCCAGCCGAATTCCAGTACCTGTGGCCCAAGCCATGAGTGAGAAGCGGCAGGAGTCCAGAGAGTCAACGGGCGAGGGGGGAAGGGGGTAGGGAGGTGCCCACACATGCCACGCACCAGGCCCACAGCGACGCCACCAGCAGCGGGGCCTCAGTTCCTGCCCTGCACGTCAGCCCTCTGGAAGGCAGGGGTGTGGAGGCAAAGGACACTGACCTGGGCCTACAGACCCTGGGTTCTGACACTGGCTCCCTGTGGGCCTCAGGCCAGTCACAGCCCCTTCCCCAGCCCCAGTTTCTGATTTGTGCATAAAGCAAAGGCTTAGAGCCGATGGCCCAGGTCCCTTCCATATGACTTTGACCTTAAAATGTGCTGGGAGCCTCCAGCATTGCTCCCCAGCTCCCCTCCCACAGATATGACCCTGAGATCTGGCTCAGGGAGGAAGAAGGGAAGGTGAAGCCTGTTCACGGCTCTTTTCCAGGCCCTGGACACACAAACCATCAAGTTTTCAGGCCAGTCGAAGGAAGGCCTGAGCAAGACAGAGAGCAGATCTGAATAGCAGTCATCAGGCTCCTTCAAACTTTTCTTAACTCACAAAACTTTAAAGTAAAAGAAAATCTGTGCTCAGAAGGGCCCAGAGAGCACATCTAATCCAACCCGTCCACTTTCAGAGGTGGAAACTGAGGCCCAGAGAAGTCTGCCACCCGCTCAAGGTCACACAGCGACAGGCACCATAATCCAGGGGCCGGAGCAGATGGGCACAAAAAGCCCGCACACAGCGCACTGAACAGCAAGTGAAAGAAAGTTGGCTGTAGGAGGGTCTACGGTGGTGATTCCCAGCTGGTTTAAATCCAGAATACTTTTCGATAAGACTCAAAATCTCACAGCCCCAGCCCCACCCCAGAGACTCTGTGTGCACCACAGGTGGCAGACCTTGCTGGAAATCACTGTATTGAGCTTTGCTTTCTGTAATTCGTATTACAGAAACAATAAATATATTATTTTCTATTTTCCAAATAGAAGATGGCACTGTAAGTTTGAAAAGGCTTTGCAAACTGTCATAGCACTTTCCCCCAAGATTCTAATGTGGGAACCTCAGAGGAAGGGAGCCCCCCTGTTCCCTCTTCCAGGCAGGGAGAATCCCTCCCCACCCCAAACAGCCATGGACTCACCTTGGCGTGGAGCTTCGTGATGTCAGGTCTCCGCTCAGAGAGGTTGAAAAGCTAGAAGGAGGAAAAGGAAGAGATTGTGAGATGAGAAGGTTGAGCCTTTCTCTCTCCCTCTCTCTCTCTCCCCTCTCTCCTCTCTCTCTCTCTCTCTCTCTCTCTCTCTCTCTCTCTCTCTCTTTCTCTCTCTCTTTCTCTCTCTCTCTCTCTCTTCCCTGCTGGAAATTCTACCTACATGACCATACATGAAGTCCTACCAGATACACACTGATGGACAGGAACTCAACCACAGGCTCTCAGGATAAAGAGGGAGAGAGAAACAAGTATGTAGACACCCAGCCACTCCCCTGGATGAGCGGACATCCTGAACTGAAGATGAGAAGGGGACAGAACCTGTCTCAGGTCCCACATGCCACCCCCAAGGTGGGCATCTCTCCACACTGAATGGAAATCCAGTAGTGTCAAACGATAAGCATTTGGCCATCTCTGGTTTCCTCTTCACATGTCGACTTCAGAAGCTCACCGCACGAAGATGTAACTGCTCCGTGGTCGGACGCCCTCCATAGGAGGGTGCAAACTGTGCTGGGTCAGCCCTCTCAGACCCCTGACACCCCTCTCCCAGAAGACACCCCCCAACACCTGACCACATCCCACGGGAATCCCCCAACCTCTGGATTCCCTTCTCCACCTCTGAAAGAGGCGTGCAGAACTCCCCACATCCACCTCATGGTCTGGGAAACTCAAGACCCCTGTGATGTCGCCTGGGGAAAGAAGAGGACTGCAGGGTCTGGAACGGGCAGGATGCAGCAAAAAAACATGGAATCCTGGGCTCCTGAAATAGGGCAGGATCTCAGATGGCTTCTGGTCCACTCTTGAGGCCGTAAAGGAACACACTTTATGCCATTAACAATGGCTAACACTTCAGTGTTACAGTGTCCCCAGCCTGCCAGGCCGCACTAAGGACTTTACATCTACCACCTGCCTTAATTCTCTCCACAACCATAGAGGTAAGTAGACCCATTTTACAAATGGGGATCCTACGGCTTAATGAGGCTAAGTGCCAAGATCAGATAGTTGGTGAGAGCACAGCAGCATTCCAACCCAGAACATTCTGATGTTTAAAGCCAGACTCTTAACAATGCCCAACATAGCTGACGGATGGGTCTCCGTAGAGGACTGAATAGTATCCCACAAAAATTCACATCCACGCAGAACTTCAGAATGTGACTTTATTTGGAAATAGGTCCTTTGCTGATGTAAGTAGTCAAGGAGCTGGAGATGAGATCATCCTGGGTTCAGGGTGGGCCCCAAATCCAATGACTGGTGTCCTTATAAGAAGAGGAGAGGCCACACGGACACAGGAAAGAAGGAAGGTCACATGATGACAGAAGTAGAGACTAGAGCAAGGCTACTACAAGCCAAGGAGCCACTAGACTGCCGGGAGCCACCATAGGAAGAGGCAAGGCAGGATTCTCCCCTGCGGGATTCAGAGGGAGCGTGGCCCCACTGACACCTTGATTTGGACTTTTACCTTCCAGACTGTGAAAAAATTAATTTTGTTGTTTTAAGCCACCTAATTTGTGGTAATTTGTTACAGCAGCCCTAGGGACCTAATACAGCCCCTACACCCCACCTCTGCTCAGACCTCACAGGGCAGCCCCTCATGATGGTCTGTCCAATCTGTGGGTCCAGCCCACAAGTATCTCCCTGTAAAGTAGGCCTGAGCGCTCCTATGGGGCCAGGATAGATCCAGTCCCCCAGGGCAGCCCTTCTGACATTAGAGACCATGGTGGGGGGGTGGGGGGGACTTTCTCCACACTGGTTAAGAGATCCTCCTGTGCCAGGTATGATCCCGATGTCAGCAACACCAGGTCTCTCAAGACACGCTCTGCCACAACTCTGCCTAAGACTGCTCAGGGGCACCGACAGTATGACACCTCTGCCACTTCCTGACTCTGTGACCTTAGACAAATACCCCACTTCTCTGTGTTCTCGAAAAACCTGCTTCCTAGGACTGTCATGGTGTTAAATATGTGGAAAGGAGTTAGAACAGGGCCTGGCTCATCACCAGGGCTCAATAACATGAGCTTTTACCGTTATTCTCTCCTCCTGGTCAACACACGTACGTACACCCACACGCACATGCACGTACCCACACAAACATACAAACCACACACACACACACACACACACACACACACACACACACACACACACACACACACACACACACACACACACACACATGACTTGGCTCCAGATGCTGCATCCCAGCTGCAGAGACACTCCTTAGGGCCAAGGGCAGGTGCAGGGAGAGAAGAGGAAGAGTTGGCTCGGGGGCAGTGGGACAAGACACCAGCAGGAGGAGGTGGCAAGCAGAAAGGACGGGGCACTGGACCAGCGGGCAATGGGCCCCATCCTCACCAGGTAGTTGCCTCCATGTTTGGACTTGAGCATCTGGGCCACCTCACGGAGGTTGCTCCGGAAGTTCTCCTCATTGGCTGTGCTGGGGAAGGAGACGGCGATGATCCTCTCAGTGACATACACCAGGTCCAGCTCACAGCTGTCCTCCGTGGCCCGGCTCACACTCATGTTTCTGGGGAGGCAGTAGGCAGATGCGGGTCCTGATCAGAATCCAGGCCCCCAGGACAAGGTCCAGGGATCTATACCCCCTACACACTATACGTGGCCTCCAAATCTAACCCGGGGGCTTGGTTGCTCCCTGACCCAGAGCCAAGGCCAGAGGCTTCCCCTGGCAAGGCCAATGCAGCCCACAAGCCCAGTCTGGGAGCGCCGGGGAGAACAGAGCTGGGCAGGAGCTGGCAAGGACCTCAGGCCATTTCAGAACCAGAGAGTGATGACACCAATCCTAGGTGCTCATCAATCCTGTCGGCATGGCCTTCAACCTGTGATCCCAGAGGTCAGAGGTCAGAGCCAGGGCCGGAACCAGCCAGGGCCCGGGAGTCCAGCTCAGCCTTCTAATATACTGTGGCTGCCTGGTCTGGCAGAAGTTTCTCGAAGGATCCCCGGACGGCTCCGGAAGAGGAAGGAGAGCCTGAACTGGGTCCTCTCACATCCTGGAGCTAGCCTTCTGCTGCCCTCCACTTGCTCTGAGCTGTGGAGTGGGCAGGGAGGCCCCTCAGGAGCAGGGGCAGCTCAACTGACATGCTCACCTGGGCTCCAGGTAAGCCAGACCACAGCACACATTCCAGCCCTCCCCAGAGGCAGGAGAGCTCCTGCCCTTTGTTCCCTGGCTCTCTCCCCACCTCTGGCAGCTCCCACTGCCCCGCAGGGCTGCTTCCTACCAGTGACCTCCCTGATTTCTAAGGGCTCAGGAAGCAGAGGGGGCTGCTGTAGCGGCAGGTGATCCCCAGACATCCCAGTGCCACCTGAGCTCCTCAGAGAGGTGGGGAGCCCCCTGGGCTGGGCACCGGGTGAGGGGAGGTGGGGTCTCACACCTTTACACCTCACCCAACTGCTTTCCCAAAGGAGGGTCCAGGGTGCCCACTGGGGAGCTGATGGGAAGGGGAAATGGGTCTCAGGACACTGGCATTCCATTCTGAAGCCCACCTGTAGTTTCTGGGGTCACCTCACACCCTCCCCTTCTTACCCCATCACCCCAGCCTCCTAGGGTCCTGCTTCCCTTCTCTACCCAAGGTGGGCAACTCACAGTTCATGTTGATAACCCTTCACTTCTGCGGGGTAAAGTTGGGACTGGAGGGGCAGCGGGAGGAATACCATGGGTTGTTTCAAAGTGATGGGGTGGCATAGGAGGTACAGCCCCAGGACACCAAGAAACCGGACAGAATACAGATCTCCACCACGGTTAGCTCCGAGCCCAACTGTGTAGATGGGGCTTGGAAATAGGAGAGCCAAGGGTGACATACAGCTTCTCTGTGGTGGCAATGACAGGGACCAAGTAGCAGAGGGGCCAGAGGGCTGGGAGCCCACTTTGAATTTGGCCTCTGAGTCGGAGCCTTTCCTTGTCCTGCAGCCTTTGGGGGTGGGGCTCCTACTCAAGGCAGAACAGCACCACCACCTGGACAACCTCAGCATCGCACTCTGCACCCACCCACCCACCCCAGCGTGATTCTCATCTGTAGGGGAGGAGGGGATCCTCTAAAGGACCCCACCAGTCTCTGTGGACAGCTGGCAGCTGGACTACAACCCACTGGGAGCTTCAGCTACACACCAGACCCTCTCTGACTGGTGGTCCATATCCCTGGGGCCAGATTTTCACTCATCTCAGGAGCCTCAGGCGTGAGGGGGGCGTCAGAGAGGGAAGGGCCCAAGTCAAAAAACCAGGCAACCTGGACCCAGGGAAAAGAGACCCTGGGACTTCCCTGGTAGCGCAGTGGTTGAGAGTCCGCCTGCCGATGCAAGGGACACGGGTTCGTGCCCCGGTCCGGGAAGATCCCACATGCCGCGGAGCGGCTGGGCCCGTGAGCCATGCCCGCTGAGCCTGCGCGTCCAGAGCCTGTGCTCCGCGGCGGGAGAGGCCACAACAGTGAGAGGCCCGTGTACCAAAAAAAAAAGAGACTCTGGATGAGCAAAGTCCCCTGTGCATCCCCTTCCCCCAGCCCCCACCAGCTCAGCCAGATAGAGAACCTTCCTTTTATAAATGACCCCCCAACATCAGAAACCTCTGCCCGTGGAGAACAGGATCTAGCACAGGCATCAGCGCCAGCCGGTCCTGAATGCAAACCCAAGTGCTGCCTCTTAGTGGTTGTGTGACCTTAAACGAATCGCCTCACCTCCCTGAGACTCAGTTTCTTCATCTGCCAAATGGGAATAAAATACTTACCTTGCAGGGTTGTTGCAAGGACTAGATGAGATCATGCAGGTAAATGAAGAATCCAGCTCAAGGACTGGCTTCAAGCTAAAACTTTTGAGTTTCCCACTGGCAACTACCTGCATCCTCTCGCTGTGGCTTCCACGTCTGCCCGTGCTCCCTATCACGTGCTTTGTGACTTTGGTCTCAGACACCCAGAGGCATGACTTGCTGGGGGCACCCACAGTGACCTCACTGCCTGCACCCACTGCGTCCCCCATAGCCCAGGCATACCTGATGGGCTGGGGATGGGGCTGGACACTTGGCGTGACTCTGGTGGAGCTCTGGGAAAAAGAGGAGAGAAGCAGCGTTAGGGCGGTGGCCGGCTGGATGGCAGGAGAACAGCAGAGAGCTGTCCACGCGAGCTGTCAGGGCCACGGGAAAACACAGATTCCCTTCTCCTGCCTCTGCCAACATTCCAGCCCAGGCACCCTAAAGCCCAGCAACACAGCAACTCAAAGCCAAAAGCGATCAATGCCAATCCCACATGAGCGTGCCAGTGTGCCTGTGAGCCCCCGAGGGGAAGGGATCTCTCTCCTTGGGCAAGAGAGAAATCCCAAATGCTGAGAAATGCACCACGCCTGGGCTGGTGCCATATGCGCTGAGTACACACTCATTAAAACAGTTACTAAACTGATGGAAACGCATTTCACCTGGATTCGCTGGACATCAGAATAGTGACCCCAAGTGGAGAACAGAGATGGCAACCATGAAAGAAGGAAAGATGAGAGTGCCGGCCCCGCTCTGTCCAGCTCTGAACATTTCTCCTCTGACCACCAGCTACCCACATTCCCCTCCTTTAAAGCAGCAACACCGGCTCATTCAATCAAAAGTTTTGAGACAAGAAGCAGCCAGGCATGGTGTGTACCAACCAGGGCTAGGCAGCAAATCATGCTCCTAAGGACCCACTGTCCATTGTCTGTTACCCCCCTCACCCATTCCCATCTCCAGGGTTGTCGACTTGTACAAAATTAGGCAAATGGACCCAAGTCAGTGTCCAAAACATCCCAGGGCAACCCAACAGCACGGTGATGAAAGCGCAGGATCAGAGTCCCACAGCATCCTGCTGGGCAGCCTTGCATTACTTAACGCTCTGAGCCTTTATAATGTCACCAGTGAGACGGAACAATCCTTATGGTATTGCTTGAAGATTAAAGGGAATTATGCACATAAGGCACTTAGACGCTCTTACCATTATTACATCAAGTACAATTAAAAGGGCAGTTAGCGATACAGCCAAACATTCAACCCTACAGTAAAGCAAAACCCTGCATCACCAGCTGCCACCATCCTGTCAGCCACCTCGCTGGATGCAGAATCGGACGTCCAACCTGCACGTTCCCAGGCCCAGCCAGAGCCCTCTGAGCCCACTGGCACCTTCCAAACATCCCTGAGCCTCCCCAAAACCGGCCTTTCCTGACCACCAAGTTGCATCTACCTCTTGGAGGAGACGGAACCACAATCCACCAAGGAGAGGAGAAACAGATGACCAGCAAGATTCACCCTCAGATTTCGGGCTGGACCACTGGGGTCCCAAGAAGAGGAGCCCCCTTCAGCCCTCTCCAGGCCCCCCAGCACCTACGAGGCAGGGGTGGGTGGGCTCTGAGACCCAGCTCCCAGCTGAGCCCAAAGTCAGGGCAGCCCCACTAAGAGAAGGACCCTCCACCCAGCCTCCCGTAAGAAGGCTGCGGCCAGAGTCCCCTCTGCCTGGGCCGCCGCCCAGCTCTGAACAGCTCAGACTTGGAGGCAGCAGGAGGAGGAAACAGCCAAGGGGGGCTGTCAGGGTGGAAAGTTTCTCTGTCTCTCCAGCTCTCCTGGCCCTGAGGACTTGGGTTTGCATGAGTCAGGCTTGGGAGCTGGAGGGTGCGAAGGCGGGGGCAGTAAGGAGGGGTTGACTTGTGTTTGGTTTTCAAGACCCAAACCAGGCTGTTCCAAAACTACCCACTCAGAGGAACGCAGAAACCCAACACTTCATCCGTCTCTGTTTCACTGGTCCCTCATGAGGAGCCGCTGAATCTCCCCAGGCCCTAGGCCCTGCTCCAGGCCCCAGGGCCACCCTGCTATAAATAGCCCCTCGGGTTCCATCTACTGCTGATCCACAGCCATGTTTGGAGGAGGCTGCCACAGCTGCTTCTAACAACTGGAAGCCACAACCATAGCCAAGGCTGGAAGTGTGGCCGGGAACACAGGGCCAGGCCCAGGGAGCTCAGAGAGACAATGGGATATTGAGACGGGCTTGGCAGGGGGACTGAGGAGCCGAGGGGAGCCAGGGGAGCCAGGGGAGCTGCCACGGGCACAGGGGTGAGAGGGATGGACAAGGCAGGAGAGCCAGCTCCCGCTCGCTTCTCCATGCCCCCCTCCCCAATGTTACAACACTCCACATTCCTCAGCCTCCCCACCCCAAAAAACCAGGAAAGATAAATAAAAACTTGGCCCCAGCAGAGTCTGGCCATACTGCCTCCAGAGGTGATAAGACAAAGTCCAAGCTGGCTCTGCTCCGCCGGGCTGGGGGGGTGGGGGTGGGGGGAAGGGTGGCAGGGGAGGAAACTGCCCTGGACAGTGACCCCAGCACAGAGGACAGGGACGAACAGCTGGACAGTCATCCCCCTGATGAATCACTGGGCTGCCCTCTAACTGACAGTGCTTCCTGTTTTCTGCAAAGTTTGGGGGCATGTGACACTCACTGGCAGAAAGCAGACGTGCACAGGTAACACGTCTGAGGGTTGGTGGAAAGAGTCACAAGGAGAACCGGAGAACCAGAAATGGGTCGGGGGAGGGGGCGGAGCATGTGAGCAACACAACTTAACGCTCCAAGAAACACTGTGACCTCCCACATGCAGGGCTAGAGACGGGGCACCTTCGGCAGCTGCCTAATCACACAGGCCGTTTTCAAGAGGGAGGCTGTCCTCTCTGCTCCCCATCGTCATGTGCATTCTCTCATTCAGTGAACTTCACTGAGGGCCACCGGCTGTGCGTGTGGTCCCTGACCTCAGAGAGCTTACATTCTACGAAGGAAGATACTCATCCACGAAGCCAGTGTAAGAAGCAGTCGCTTGGTCTCACTGACCAATCTGTAAAATGGGTACAGCACAGTCTTGTGTGATATACCTGCTCCACTTAGAGCCTCCAGGAAAAATACCAGAGGGCTTTACAAAGAGTACTCTAAACGCTTTATTTTATAAAGAAAAATAAGCTCTCTGTCTGCCTGTAGTCCCATTCCTTTCCTCTCTGGGGCTGTCAAAGTCCTTTACCCACATACTCTGATCATCTTCCCTGCTCCACCCAAGACACAGATCAATAATAGGACTTTTGATCCAACTCCCTAGGCACCAAGGTCTCTCCCCTGTCATCATCACCAAAACACAGTCTCTCCTTTGCTTAAGGACACTGTGAAAGGAAATTCCACAGCCTTCGTCAAACAGCGTCTTACTTCTCTTACTATCAGGCAGTTCCTCCTGGTATCTAACCCTCACACTTCGTGCTGCAGATTCGGCCAACGCTGTTGGCTTTGGTCCTCACTGCAGGCGGGAGCTGCAGCCCACCGCTCAGATAGATGCTCCACGGCAGCTCAAGGTCTATGACCCTCGGCTCCGTTTTTTGCCTTCTTCCCCGCCATGTAGCAAGAGTGGGAACCCGAGGACCTGGGTGGGGTTGGTTTGGAGCAATGACTGTGTGGGAAGAGTCCTGCCTTCCTTTGAGGTTCATAGACCAAACACAACAGCTCTGGACCAAAAGAAAAGCTGTTTCCGGAGCCCACGTCCCCAGGGGGCACAGTTGGGAGGAGGGTCTGGAAGCAACACCAGGAGCCATGTCAGGCAGGCAGAGATTGGTGACCAATCTACGTCAGGGGCCCTTCCCCACCCATATGACTCCTCTGGGGGCTATGGCCACCCCCCCACCTCCACACCAGCCCCTCCAGCCACACCCCTTCCTCTCTCCTTCCTGCCCACCCGCCTGGATTTTTCCAAAACAAAGTGTGACACAGCACATCATCCACAAACTCTGCAACACACCAACCCCGCTGGAGGAAAACAGCCATTCCTGCCCTGTGAGTCCTGGGCTGCAGGCCAGAGACAGGAAAACAGCTCAACAAACAGGCACATTATCACAGCAGCAGGCCCAGAGCAGCAACCATGCCGCTTCGGAAACGGGTCTCCTCACCCGAGGCAGACTGCAGGAGAGCCCAGTGGCTGGGGAGGGGACCCTGAAGTCACTCAACCTGGGACAGGTGTCTGGGATCCTCAAAAATTAGGTTTTCTCTCTTCCTTTGCAGTACTTGTGCCATTCTGGAATCTGCTCACTTGCTTAGCCTTTCATGAACTCCTTTAACTAAACTAACTAGACCAAAGCTCATCTTGTCCCTTCTCCCATATCCAGGCAAGACACCACCCTTACCCACCCCGGCACGCACAGACACACACACTTTCATCCCAGATCCACAGAACTTTCTCCTAAAAAACCTCTCATTCCAACTAAGCGGCAACCTCTTTCTTCTCCAGGACCAAGGTCATACACACCCTTGCATCAAAAGGTTCTCCATGATGTCTAACTTCACTCTCTCTTGCTGCAGCCTTACCTTGTAGGATCTGTCTGGCCCAGGCTGGAGTTGTGGGGAGCAACTGCTCTAGGACTCAGCTTATAAGAGTGTCCAGACCATTGGCTAAAAGGCTTGATTCACACACCATCGCCCTGTCCCCTGGCCAAGGGTTGGGAGCCCTGGAAACACCAGATCCAGGCAGCAGTCCCAGGATGGGATGGAGAAGACATTCACTGAGTCAGTGAGCCCCTCAAGCCTCTGTTTCCTCACCTATAAAATGGGGCCACAGTATCTGCCATAGCGAGATGTCACGGGGATCAAAAAATACCCAGCCAATGGGGACTTCCCTTGTGGTCCAGTGGTTAAGACTCCACGCTGCCACTTCAGGGGGCATGGGTTTGATCCCTAGTGGAGGAACTAAGATCCCACATGCTGCACAGCACGGCCACACACACACACAAAAATATATACCCAGCCCAGTTCCTGGCCCTTAGCCAAAATAACAGTAATGAGACCAGTTAACATTTATTGAGCACATGGTATACGCTTTGTGTGCATTAAGCTAGTTAACCTTTAGTAGCAGGCACACAAGAAAATTACTTTCTCCCCTGTACCCCAGCCCCAGAAACATCACAAACTTGGACAAGGGTCCATCCCAGCATGTGTACTCCACGCCCATAGGACCCGTGCGTACCTTGAACAGAGCCTTGCCCATTAATTTGAGAGGCATGTTTCTGCTCTTCCTGGCGGGGCCCTGTGCGGCCTGGGCGACACCTCCACCTTGCCGGGCTGGCCTTGCGGGGCTGGCCCAGGGCAATGTGACGGAGGTGGTGGGCTCACCACAGAAGTGTGCTGCCTGCAGCAGCCCAGCACCTCCCTCCGAGGCCCTCCCCGCCATGGGTCAGGCAGCTGTCAGATGATAGGGCCTCATGCCATCAACAGCTCCCCCATGCCAACCGCCAAAACCACTCCCTGTTCCTCTGCAGATCAGGGCGGGCAAGGATGGAGAGGCCAGCAGAGGGGCAAACTGTCAGAGAAGGGCAGGGAACAAAGAGAAAGGTCCGACATTGCCGGGCATCTGCCCCTGGGGTGGTGTGAGGACAAGCCCAGGCACGAGTTCGGCTCAAAGCAGGGTCCCAGGAGAGCCCCTCTTCCCTTCCCTGGGGTCCTTCCACTTAAGGAATTTGCCCATCGCCCTCCACCAAAACCGCAGGGCAGGAGGAGCCCGTGAGACCAAGCAGCCCATGTTCCCGCTCCCTCCTGAATCAAGGGCATTTAGCCCATTTTCAAAGGCTTCTCCCTCCGAAGAAGCAGAGCCTGTGATTCCCCAGGGGCTGACGACCCTCCAAGAGCCCAGGAGTCCCTCTTGCTGCAGTGTTGCCCATTCCCCTGGCCGTTGCCCTGGTGACTGCTCACCACCCAGCGAGGCCTCACACAGCAGCCTCTGCTCCCCTCCCTCCCCACTCTGCAACACTAAGGTCTGCCTCAGTGATGGGGAAACCAACTCTGGATCCAGCTAGGCTGGAGGCTGAAGCCAAGACTAAGGCCCAGCGTCTACGTCATGGGGCCTGCTCACCCTCCCAGCCCCTCTCCCCACTCCGGAATTGAGCTGAGCAATTCTACAGAGGAGGCTGCGAGGGATGCCCACCAAACAAGACAGGTGTTAGGCATCGTCCGCCTCCCCCATCCCCCGCACCCCAGGGACTCGCCACATCTTCCTCCTTCCTTTCTGAATACGTACATCTTCCTCAAGGCTTTTCCGTGTGTTTCCACCCCGGAAGGCTCCTTCTCCCTGGAGACAAAAAAAAGGCAGTCAGAGAGGGGAGTCGAGGAAAGTCATCGAAAGGTACCAGGTCTTTCATCTGCTGGGTGTGCCAGTGGTGGGGGTGAGGGCTTGGCAGAAGGGCCTGGGAGGGGGCTTGGTTGTTTGTGTAGCATTTCTTCGTCCACTAACGGCTCTCCAGAGCCAACCATATCCTCTCATTTGTGTCTCTCCTGGGGGAGATATTATTATTCCCATTTCTGCAGATGAGAAAACTGAGGCACAGATAGGCTCAGGACTTGCTACAGTCTCACAAATAGAACCCTGGAGGAGTTAGGAGGTGAACCCAAGTCCTCCATCTCTGAGCCCATCACTCCATGCCGGCCGTTGCCAGGAGACGCCTCTCAGCTGCCAGCCTCGGTTTCCCCACCACACAACCCACCCACTTCCTTCCCTTCCTCCTCCACGCAGCCTTGAGGAAATCGTCTGTCTCTCTGCTGAGTCAGAAAGACGTGTTTGGAAAGATCTGCCTGGCTTTCTCACATTCTACATATCTAATAAAGAAGCCCACGTTTAACCACGGGCCTCTCCCTCCCTGTCTGCCTAGTTCCCCAGCAATCCATTTCCGAACACACAAGGGGATGCTCCGATATCCAGCTTTCAGTGCCACCCATGTCTCCATCCTTCCCCCAAGTTCCCCAAATCTACTCCAGAAGGGTGTCCTCAAACACATCTGTTCACTTTCCCCCCAATCTTCCTTAGGCTTTCCCTGCCTCCCCAGGCGCTCACCCCGCCCTACCTGCTGTCACTCACCGTGTCCACTACATTCTTTGGAGCAGTTTCAGTGTTGACGGGCTGTGGGCAGAGGGAGAAAACAGCATGAGGCCTCAGGGCAAACATCCCCAGGTTGGCTCTCTCCCCGGGGCTGGTGGCCGTGATGGGCAGAAGGCCTCCTGAGATAGCACCGATGGTGCCAACCCAAGGCTCAGACATAATGTGCTGACCCCAAGCTTGGGGGTCAGAGTCTGGAAAATGAAAGACAATCCTATTGGTCCTAGAACCATCCAGTTTGACAAACCTCACTAAGGCCCCTAACTCCGACAGTCACCGACCCCTCAAAAAGGAACAAGGAGCGAGTAAGTGACTCTTGTTCCTACCTGCCAGGCATGTGTGCCTACACCCGCCACTTCATTTATTCACAAGAACCCAGTGAGGTAAGTACTATTACTACCTTTGAGCCCCACTTTACAAATAAAGAGAAATTCGATGAGTGGACCAAAGCCACTGACTACTAAGGGGGACAAAAGGGTTGGAAGCCCATCTTGGGTCTCTACACTTCATGCTGTGTGAAACCACAGCAGCCCCGGATACCAGGCCTGCCAGGGTCTTCATGCTTCGGTGGGCTTTCAAGGGCCATCCCCACCTTTGGCCCTGCCCCCTTGCAGACCTCAATTTCCTTGCCCCAAAACTCTCTTCCATCCAGACCCCTCGCTATTCCCACATCCGGGCTTTTGTTTGCGGAGCAGCTTCTCCTCTTTTCTTACTAGCTCTCCTCCTCCATGAAGCCCTCCCTGAACACCCCAGCAAAGGGCTCTCTCTCTCCCACCTCAGAACTCCAGTAAGCCTTACTGTCTGAGCTACTTATCTGGTCCTCAGCGTGTGAATAATCAATCTCATTGTGGGGATATGGCTAATTCCCCAACTCTTGTTTTATTTTTATTTGTGATTCTTATTCCACCTGCCTCCAAAACAGATTCAAAGCAGCATTTTTACCAACTGAGTTGCCACAGCCCTCGGGCCGGAGACTGTGCCGTATGTGTAGCGAGCCGTCAATAAACACCCGTGGACTGATCCTGTCCCTCACCCTGGTGCCATCCTTCCCTTGCGCAGACCAACTTCCTGCTAAAGGCTTCCTGAAACGTGGGCTCCTTGGACTCCCCCATAATGAGAGAGAAACACCCCATTCCAGGGCCACCTCCTGACCACGGTCTCCAGGGCTCCATTTCCAACTCAGTGATGTGGTTAGAGGGACCCTTGAATCACACAGATGGACAGGGACATGAACGTCAAGGTCATGGAAACAAGCCTTTGCTGAGATGACTATGGACCAGGTTTAGACAGTGGGTCTCTGAATAGGAAGCACCTGCCCCGACCCCATCCCGGGACCTGAGGGTGAGCTGTTCATGTCTGAAGACAGGGGAATGGACAGAATGACCTCTGAAATGTTCTGGCATCTGGGAGGAAAACTGGGCCAAGATAGGGATGGAGGAAGGAAGTGGGCTGAGCTGAAGGCAGTAGCGCTCTTTCTAAAAACGCCCAGACTTTCCCCTCCTACTGCCTGGGAGACAGAGACTGAGGCCCAAACTTCTTTCCAGGTAGGTGAAACCCCCTGTGTAGTTCAGGGTCAAGGCAGCTTGGGAGGGTTGAGGGAAGACAGAGTCCAGGAACGTCGTATCAGCCAGCCCCTCCCAGCCCCTAGGTGGGCCCACCTGGAGTCTGAGGATGGCTCTGCAGGGGGAGTCAAGATGCCACATTCTGTCCCCACCCAGCCCAGCCCTAATCCTCACCTAGCCAGCCCCCAGAACCCCATTCCTGAGCCACAGGCCACCAGGCAGGAGGCAAATGAGCCCACAGGAAATCCCCCGGGATCGCTTCCCCAGACCGAGCTCTAGGAGCTGCCTAACAATCAGGACCAGGGTCTCCCCTCAGCCTCCAACCACCACCCGGCCCCACCCAGGGGAGTCCTCTGCAGCAGTGCCAGCCTGCCCCAGCCCTCTGAGCCTCCACCCATCTCTTCTGGTCCAGGGCTCTGTAATGCTCATGTGGAGACCATGCGCTGGGCAGAACGGGCCAACTGCCCCCGCTCTGAGCTGCTCTGGCTTTCTGTGGGGAGGAGGGGGCTTGGAGGGCAGATCACAGGGACCTTCTGTGTGCAGAGACTACACAACAGGACTGCCTCTGAACCCAGACCTCCCAGTTCCAAAGCCCTCCCTCTTCATAGTCTATATAATCAGCTTCCCTGACTGGGGGGGTCAGAAGGTTCAGAAATGGGGTGGGATGGAGCAACCGGAGACAAGAGCACCTGCCCCAGGCCCATTACAGGCCCTGAAGAGCCCCTCGTCCTGCTCTGGGGAAAGCCTCCCAAGAGACTCCGATGGGGCAGAGCAGAGTGAGAGCCGGGGGTCTCAAACTTTAGTGTGCCTCCCAATCACCTGGAGGGCTGTTGACGGACACACGGGTGACTGGGCACTCCCCAGAGGGTCGGATCCAGTAGCCTAGAGAGGGACTCAAGAATGTGCATCTCTAACAGGTTTCCAGGTCTGGGGATGATACTTTGAAAACCACTGGTCTAGTCTGACAGCAGTGGCAGCAGACGGCTGGGCCACATCCTGACTCTCTCTGCTGCTGACTCTGTGACCTCAAGCAGGTCACTCTGTCTTTGCTGCTCTTCAGCGGGAAGGCATGGTCCTCTTTTGTGAGAAGCAAATGAGATGAAGCACAGAAAGCACTTAGAACGGGGCCTGCCACTTAGGAAGCTCTCAATAAACGTGAGCTGTTATTTATCAGCTCCAACTGCACAGGTCCAAGGCCAGGCCCTCTCCCAGCCCACCCTGCCCCACCTTGCCCCACGTTGACCCTCCTGCCCCATCCCTCCTGGGTCTGACACAATGCAGACAGACCAGCGAGTCAACTTTAGAAACCACAGGCCTCAGCAGGGCAAGAGAAACTTCTCTCCCTGCCAGCAATCATCTGAGCACCAGCCCCTCTGCTCCCAGCCCTTCCCCACACCAGCTGGAGGCCAGCCACAGGGCCAGCCATCAGACGCCTGCCTTCAACGAACTGGTGGAGAGGCCTTCTGAGGAGCTAAAAGTGTCCAAAAACCCTTTCCAACCTCAACACCCCAGTCCTCCTGGGACTGAAGTCCTGCTTCTCTGCTTTCCATGCACTGCCAGCTCCGGGGCTACTGGGAATGAGAAAGCCAAGGGAACTCATCACAGGGCGGGGTAGGGGTGGGTGTTCTCCCCTGAGGCTGTCCCTGCCCTAGGCCCTGCAGGGAAGCTTGGGTATACTAGGGAAAGCTCCCAGGCCATCAGGGCTGTGGTCTCCAGAGGCTACAGCCCCAGAGTTCCAGTGGCTGGCAGAGACCCACTAAGCCTCGGCTGTCACCCTACCGTTAGCACGGAAACATACACACACACACCATCTTTGCACACCACTCCTCAGGCACCATCTCCTCGCTCCCCATTTCACAGATGGGGAACCTGAGGTACAGAGAGGTGCGGGTATGACTCGCCCAGCCTCTCACAGTGAGGTGCATGGCAGGACTCAGGTGGGCACCCAGGTTTTATAAAGCCCATCACTGAGCTCACCCACTGCCCCTCACCCCAATCCCCAGCCAGCCTGCAGGCAGGGTTAGCTCTTGCCTCTTGGTTGGCGGACTCTGCTCTTCCTTCTTACTCAGACTCAGCTGTAGAAGGATAAAGCAGAGGGAGCCCCGACAAGGATGGCCCCTCCCCCACCTGGCCCCTCCCCCTGCCCAATCCCAAGACGAACCCAGGCTTTCCAAAGCTGAGGGTAGCCAAATCACTGACCCACCAGGGGTCTTCCAGAATGCTTCTTGCTCCCAAGCAGGACAACTCGAACCCAGCTCAGGAGCAGGTGGCAGAGTTTAGACCTGGTGCCACTTGACGGCCAAGTCTTGCTATCTGTGGATCACTCTGCTCTGGGGCCTCAAACCCGGGAGTCTGGAGCAAGGGAAGGACTAGAGTGAGGCTCTTAGGGCAGAAAATTTAAGGAGGCATTTAGTCTCAGGATGCACAACGCTGAGAGCAATACCTTCTCCAATTTTGCGCCCCAGGTGCCTCACTTGCCTTACCTCTTCCTGGCCCTGGTCTGGAGGTGCATTTTCATAACATTACTGCCGTAACAACAATTACTCAGCAGGTACTAATGATGCCTTGGGCTTAACATTGGGCTCTTTGCTTTCACGATCATTATTCCTCATAACCAATGCTCACAAGGCAAGCATTATCCCATTTTACAGGTGAGGAAACTGAGGGCCCGAGAGATTAAATAACCTGGCCAAGGTCACACAGCCTGTAGATAAGAACAGCTGCTATTTGAATGCCACTCCTTACATCCCCCTCATGCTCTGTCTCTTCTCCCTGGCCATAATCTTCATTCAGTTCCTCTTACTCCTAATCAACTGCCCTCCTGTTGGGAACAAGCTTTCTGTGGCTTAAAGCCTAATTGTCTCAGGTCCTCAGGAGGAAAAGGTTTCTTCAATGCACTTCCAGAGGAAGAGGAGGAAATGGGCTGCAGTAGGAGAGACTGGGACCAGACATCAGAGAGAACTTCCTGAATGTGAGGGGCTGTGAACCACAGTGTGGATAAGGGAAGCTGCATATCCTTTCCTCAAGTTTTGGGGTTTTTTTTTTTTTTCCAAAAAAAGACATGCATGCCCTCTCCATGCGTTTACCCACCCCCAGCAGTGTGGGCCTGAGGGGGGGCCGGTCTGCAGAGGCCGAGGTGGCTGGGATGACTGCCTGGAGGTTCACGCAGCAGGACATTTCGGTGGCCTGCAGGGAGGGTGAGCTGGGAAAAAAATGTATCTGTGGGCTGCTGTTTTGGAGGAAGGAAAAGGCAGAGGGCCATAGCAGGTGGGGGGAGGTGCCCAAGCCCTGGACTGGGGGGAGGGGGGCGCAGAATGCAGACTCAGCCTCCAGAGGAACATTCCGTCCAGAAATTCCTCACACCCTCCCTCCTTCCACCCCTCCAGCTCTCTCCACTCTTGCCCCCTGGGAGGCCTGGAATCCGGGCAGTTTTTCAGGACAAAAAGACCCCATGACATCACA